GGTTTTCTCAAAGCCCTGATGTGGTTCTGATCCAATATTCCACTTCAGAATTCTAAGCTAAATTGCCTTCTTAAAAGCAGGGGGGAAAAAAGCCATCTCTCCTATGTTACTGTGCAATTGTAATGCAATGAGGCTGTTCAAAAAAAGCAGAATATTTAAATAATATATCACTTCTCATTTTTGCAAATGCTGGCAGTGATGCTTCACAAATGGAATGCCAGCCTGTGTACAAATCAAGAGTTGATAGAGATGCTGTGGAAATAAAACGATCAGACTGAACCTGCAACAATAGTAACCATCCTTTCTTCCACTATAAGAATTAGAACTCATGACAGTGACAATCTTAACAAGTAAAATTCTTCAAACCTCAACCATTCATTCTCTTGTACCTTAATCTTAAAGAGAAAACATTAAAGAAGTCCAGCTCCTGACTGATGCACTATTCTGTTCCTGTAGCATATTCTCCAATTTTGTTTTCATATTTCTTTCAATTGACCTCTGCAAATCAGCTCCACCAGCTTCCCTTTGTGGCACTTGCAGAGTCTAGTGTATTTACATTTCAGCAAGTTGTTTTTCCTAAATTTAACATTACTTAATTTTATATCATTCCTAATTTCATCGCTTCTGTTCAGAGCACTCCAAGTCATGTTTTTTTAGTATCATCTTTGAAGGGTGACTTTGATCTGTTGATTCTGGGGCAGCGAGTGAAAAATATCGAAAGAATATACATTACAAAATTACATTTTGGGAAGTATAGGATTACAAGCAATACCAGACAAACACTCATTTGAACACTTGTGATCAGAGCCTAAGCCTGTCAGTAAATGCTATCAGTTGCAAGCACCTTGTAAAACACACCCTGTAATGAACACTAACTATACCCTTGAAATAGTAGCGAATTGAATTTGATCAGCTTGTTTGCCAGCACGTTCATACATGTGGGTTGGGGGCCGCAATGGGGAGGGGTGTTATTCAGCTAGCTCTTTTGACAACCAAGATTCTCATAACAAATATTGCAAAAGAATCAAAAGCAAGACATCAAGCATCACATTTGGAGCACAAGTAATGTTAGGCTGCTCAGCCAACCTCTTTTCCCACTAGCTCTCTTCTTCCTCCTCTCAGCAGAAGGATACCCACTGGGCCATTGTTTTTTGTACAGTTGACATTATTAATGTTCATGAATGGCAAATAAATCTGTGGAATTCAGGAAATGTGTCACGACCCAAAACAAAGAGCCTTAAATAGATCACAATTTTGTTGCGGGAAATGCTGTTCAGCTAATGCAAGCTGTCAGTATTTTTGACAGTTTGGATTTTGAAATATGTTAGTTAACAGAATCCTTGATGGGCAGCGGAGCTGAAGTGTAAGCAGCTGATTTAAACAAAGGATATTTGGAATTAAATTTTCGTTCAATAAGAAGGCTGACCATTATTTGTATTTTCCTGATTGTTTGGTTTTGACAGCTTTGCAAATGCTAAGCTTGAGCATGAAATGCTAACCATGCTTTGATGTTTCACGGCCCAAACAACAGCCTTCCATATTTTTTACTTTAAAATTTTATCCAGCAGGAAAGTAGCTCATGAGATTAATGTAGTGTCTTGTCAAGTTCTAGGAAGCTAGTTGCAAAAGTGACGTAGGAAAGACAAAAACAAAAATAAGGAAAAGAGGATGAAAAATGCATTTCAACATTCCTCTCTCAAAGAATAAATGTGCAATCTGCAGCAAATCTAAATGGCAGAATCAACACTTCCAAGTAATTGGTAGAATTTGTCCTCTTGCTAAGTTATTCTGAGGAGCATAAGCAACATAAGAAATGACACTTGCTTCTTTCTAAGAATTATGCATATCATACAAGTTTTTATACATATGGACAGAAAAGCAGATGGATTCAAGAAAACATATTAAACTTAGGGCTTACTTGCTACAAGTACACACCTGCTCTCCAGAAACTGCCACCAGAATCCTCAACCACAAAAGCCACATAAGAGCAAACTCTGTTGTAACATATGAGAGAATGAGGCTAAAGCCTTAATTTAAGGTGTTAGCACTGCCACAAAATATACTGAAGAATCTCACACAGGTTTTAATGTCATTTTAATGGCTCAAGAGATAACTGTGTTGTAAATCCACATGAATTAAAAAATCATTACACATAATTTTTCAGTTGGGCATTCAAAGACTCTCTAGAATTGCATGAAGTCAACAGAATATTTTAGTATGGTTCATTCTCTAGAAAGATATAATTTTCTACATAAAATATAATACTACTCTATCTTTAGAGTCCTTTTATCCATTATCTTCCTATAGAGTGTAGTTATTTCAATTGTCACATTCCATTGGTTCTTTTTATATAGGTAAGTCCCTGACTGCTTTGGTTTTTTTAGTCCAGATTGGTACTACGTGGTTGCTACGGAAATGTTTGGTTAGAGATCTTTAAAGTAAAGTATCTAGTTCCCCAAAGTTTGGGAATATTCAGATGAAAGAAGGCTTTGAGTATATAGAGAGAGTTTCCACAACCTGAAATTCAGTGTGAAGTTAGATTTGGGGATTTTGTTCAAATCTATCTTTGCTTATTATTTTGAAACATTTATGCAGAGATGTACTGAACAGGGGACCACAGAGTATATAAAATTTAGATCGTTAATCACGGGAATTTTACTATCTGTCCTTTTTGGAAGTGCTGTAAATGAGACAAATATTTCTGCATTTTCATAAGGCATTAGAATTGATTTTCATTCTAACTGTGAGGTACTGCAATTGCAAATAAAGTAGCTTGTCTATAAAAATGACAGCACCTTTTAACACTTGCTTTTCTTCTTGCAAATTTGTTGTAGACAAGCACTGAAACCATCTCCAGTCTAACTTGTGGTATTGTTCAGATCATACACCTGCAGTATTGGCTTACAGTATCTTGCCAGCAAAACACAAGGTGTCACCTCCAACAGCCAGCAATCACAAATTTACCAAACTCATCATCTTTTGAGATGTCCCACTAAATATGATTACAGGGAAAACTGTCTCCCTTGTGTTCCCAAGGGATGGGCAGACATTTAGCACCTGGGACAACTGCATGCTCCCATGACTGGCAAAGACAGGCACCTTGCTGTGAGAGGAGCTCCGGACACAAGCCCTCGTACCCACCTGTGCTAACTGACACCCGGCCACAAGAAAGTGCTCTGCGGTGGGAACCTCTCGGCTACCACAGGCACCCGGCTCCACAGTGCAGGAGCTCACCTCCTGAGGCCAGCAGGAGCCCTTCTCAGGGGTTTCCTCGCTTTACTGGGAGGCTTGAAAACGCCGAGGTTGACTTGCAGCCCGTGAGGGAGGGCAGTGAGTTGCCTCTTCAGCAAGGTCCCAGAAAGTGAATGGAGTCTAACAAATCTCTGGCCCAGCCCTTGTCAGTCACCACTTTTTCCACTGCACATCTTCAGGAGTATCACATTCATGATGGTTGTAACACAAATCTCTGCCGAACAGAGGTGAATGGCCACACTCAGCTAAACTATTCAGCAGGCTGGAGTATGCCTGGAGCACTAGTACAGCACTGCTGGTTCAGTTTCTTTGGTCGGTGTAACTGAACTGTCTCACAGTCTCTTTGTAGGGCTTTGAAAATTCATACCCTGGTAGGAGCAAGCTACTGCTCAGACTCCCAAGTAAAATTGAAGGTAGAGGACAGCAGGATACAAATCAGCCTGCTATCCAAGAAGACACTTTCATACTAAATATATGTTTACCCACACTATGATGTACATGAAGTTGCTGAGCAACTAGGAATTTGGTCCTATTTACTTCTGCATTTAGTGTTGCATCACAAAGTGACAGCCTACCTTTATAAGGAAGTGTATGTTTTTACAAAGGATGCCAGATCTTTTTAAAACAATTCCAAGATAAAGCGAAGTCCACTTCCAATCCTTGGCAAGATGCAGAGGGAAAAAGAAAACACTTTAAAGGAGGTCAGAATCCTTAGTAGTTATGTATGTAATCAAGTGTCGTGCTTTGAACAGGACTTGCAAATGTATGTGATATTTTTCATAAAGCAAAAAGCAATGTTCTAAGCATACATTACTACAGAAACTCCAAAATGACCTGTGCAAAATTAGCATCTGAACAGTTACAAGATATGTTTTTTACATTTCATTTGCACTGGCTCTTCATTGAAATCTTTCCCCATAATGAAAATGGGCCATACACATAACTATATATTCAGTGAAGTTAAATCAGGAATTGATTTGGCTCCATATTCTTTCAGCTAAGACTGTAAATACCAGGGTCCTCTCTGCTCTGTATGAATACAAATGGCCTCAGTGGAGTTCTGCCAGTTTATAGCAGCAAAAAATGAAGGCCAGAGGATCAAAGGGCCTTTTCCGTAAGAGCAGGGATTTGTTTCTGTGCCATCTTCTTCAAAAGGTTCTGAATTATCGGGTGAGTACTCTCCATACTAAATCATTTTCTTTCAGTGGCACTGTGTGTATGCAAGTGTATAAAAGGATACCTTTGTTCATTAATCGAAATATATTTAGAACCATAACAATGTCTGAGTCAGACTTGTCTGCATCTCTTTTCATTTCTTCAATTTTTATCTTACTCTTTCACAACCATTATCTCACCAAATAATTACTGTTACTTTTACACCCACAAGGAGTATCTCTGTGCATTAACAATATTCAAGCTTTCACCAGAACCAGCCAAGGAAACAACCCTTCAAATTCCTGCCCTGATGGAAGGACTATTTTACTTCCCATAAAACTCAAAGAGTTTCCCCCAATACCTGAGGATCCATCAAGACTGTGGAGAGAAACAGGCAATATCCTTCTGGTAACACCAAAGTAAGCAACAAGTTTAATAAAAAAAAAAAAAAACATTTTCTGTAGATAACATCTACCATAACCAGTCAGATAAGCTCCCTGACTGATATGGATGCACATCTCTACTGCGCTTTAGACATCAATGTCTAAATACATGAATACAAAGGGATTAGAGAGATGCATCACATAGCCTTCACTTCCAATGGGTTCACCCAATGTCACAGATTTTGCAGTTCCTCATCAGTGTGGTAGGGAGACAACTGCTCCCTACTGCAGCGCCCCCTAAATCTATCCCAAGAATCACTCCAAGTTTCCTGTTCAGTGTAAGAGTTTTGCCTTTAATTCTTCTGCAAAACAGGAAAAATGTGCAGAAAAACCATAAATACAAATGACAAATGTCCCTTGCCAACCCCTGCTGGGAATATTAAAAATTAAAGAGAACAGAAGCTACAAAAGGAAAAGATATATATTATTCAGATTTCAAATCACCTCACAAACACTGAAACAATTCCAGGTAACTAACTCCATGTGCAAGTATAAAATTTAACATGCACATAAAGTATGTTCTTAAAAATGACAGCCTGGAAATGGAGAAGAGGAAAATATGCCTCCTCTGTGAAGGATAATCAAATGAAAGGTATAAGCCAAAAACAACCACAGGGGCAGGCCAATAAAATGTCATGTTCAGAAAATGTAGCCTGCATTGCCTAATCTTCACTGTGATATTCATGTCTGTTAACAAAGAGCAAAAATCTAACTCATGAGTGGTGTAAATGTAAGTGAATTATCCCCATTTCTCTGTGTAAGATGAATGTCACTAAAGAGTTCCAATTTTGTTGGGTATTCTGCAGTAAAGTGCTTCTTTATATCAAACGAAACCATATAATGACTATACTGAATGATGCTTATGGAGCATAATAGGTACTCTGAACATTTGGTGAGAATCATCTGCCTGTGAGAGAAGGAACTGAATGGCTGGATGTATCCCTAATGTACAGGGAAAATTGATAATGAAACGAATAGAAGATTCACTTAAGTGATTCCAGAGCCGATTTGGCCTGAAGAACATTATGAACACCTAGACAAGTCTTCTCATTGACTCTGCTGGAAATAGGATTCCCACAGGACCGATCTATTCTTTGTGCGTCTCACACCTTCCTAAAAAAGAACCCCACACAAGAAGCACCTAATTCATCATTCCACAAAAACACAAAAGTTCACTTTTATGGCTGATTCTTTGCCTGTAGGATAGCAAATTCTGTACACAGCGGTCTCTCAGACTGAAGGTTCCTTACATTATCTTTGCTATACATATATATTTTAATGAGGTTGTCTCCCTTATTTTTCTGTTGAGGCTTTCAAAGGCTGATCTTGCTATTATTATACAGCACTGCTCAATCTCTTTCTCACAGATTTGCTCATGGAGCTCTTCCAGAACTTACTTCTCCTTCCCATTTAGACACATATTACATGTGTCTTTCAGATGAATTAGTAATTAGATCTGTTCCAAAAATTTTAACTGAATGTTTCACTGGAAAATTCCATTTGGATCTAAAGCACTTAATTTAAAATATCTTGGGTTCAACAAAACACTTCATTGAGTTCTAATAAATTCACATAAAACAAAACAAAAACAAAAGAAAGTTTCAAAAAACCAAGCATAATCTGCTACACAGCCAATTACATTTTAAAAAGCATTTTAACTACAGCACAGCCATCTTTTTGAGTGTAGATGTTAAAAAAAAAACCCCTCATTACCTTCTACCAGCAAGGTCCTGTACAGACCAGTTTTTCTATACAATGTACTTGTAATTTTATATCAGTCTCCTTAAACATCTGTGAGACCTCTTTCTTTTCTGTTTTTTCTTTGTTAATCTCACTCTTAAATTATATCACTCTAATCCAGGTAAATGTCATTCCTCAAAAGAAATGCTATTCAGAGCATAATTGTGGTCTACAAAATTACTGATCCAGAAAATCTCTCCCTTGGAACACCAAAACACCTTTCTTTGCTTTTATAAATTGATGCCAATGAAGCAGCCAACTGGCCACAGAGATTTCATCCACAGCCTTTAAACAACCTATGGTCTGTTGTCTTGTCTGTCTGCTCAGGCACTCTTCCCATATTTATCATCATATTTATCACTTCAGAAATAATGGAAATAGGCCAAGGACAAAATGTTGGTCAGTAAATTATAGTGAATGCAGTTGTACCAGAAAACGACCAATAATACAATGCAGTGCTGTGATGTTAAACCAACCTCTACAGCAAAGCTTCTACAGTTAGCTGAAAAAAAAAGAATTCTAAACTTTTCATAGAAACTGTACATACTACCTTACATCAGAGATGCACACTCTTCTTTCCCACCCATGTAGCTGACCTTTACTCAGCTCCAGTTTGCTGGCTTTCAGTGATGCAGAGTATAAGCTATAAGCTGGTATTTAAAATCATCTGCTGTAAAAAACAGTAAAATCTTACAGCCTTTCAATGCCAATTCCTTTAATGGATGAGATTGCTATTTTTTCCTCTGTGTGGAAGGGTTTTTTTGAGCAGTTACTGTTTTCATTTTAGGAGTTGTACCATGTCAATTTTGATCGACACAAAAAGTTTATTGGAAACAGGAATTTCTATTTCTTTGCAGAGAAAAAAAAATTTCCCCGATTTATTCACTCCTGTAACTCTGTATATTTAAGAGAAAGAGCTCAAGGACTGATTTGTCAGCTGCAAAAAAGCTCTTAATTGCATTACTGAAAGAATTAGGTAAAAGGCAGCTTTAGGATCAGCTTTGCACTAGTCAGGAACCAAGTCAGTACAGATATAAGCAAGAGTAGCCATCATGCTAGTCTGAAATCCACCATCTTGTTTTGGTCACTCCAGCATACCTATCCTGAGCCAATACAGACTCCAAGGCATGCTGGTAAAATAAACAAAAAATCTCAGGGATGTCATTTACCGACCACACAGGTAAGAACGTTAAATAGGGGTACAATGAAGAGCTATATTTATCCCATAAAAATGTCATTTCAACAGCCTGCACAGAACGCCTTTGACTCAGTCTTCAGCTAATGCTGAACCTGTTTTCTTCTCTTTAGACAATTCTTTAATGGCCTTCAGCTCAGCTTCAGAGAACTTAGGGGTCACTGCCACATTGTCATAGTCAAATTCTTCATCAAGTGAGAATGGTTGAACATCATCCCCCAGTAGCTGTAATGAGAAAAACCAGATACATAAATAATATTGCTGCAAGTGATAATAAGGTAGCTTAAAATATAAACTTCTAATTAATATTTAATTAAACTATTTTTTCTGACTCTAACACTCTCAGCTGATTAAGCTCTTTTTAAGTAAAAGAATAAATTCAATTATTCAATTTGACCTAATTTAAGCCATTTAATGTGCCCCATTTGTACTGTATTGTATCTGAATGAATATCATTAACTAATTTTGCTCAAGGCAAGGAATCTAAAAACCACCCTAGCATACATCTATTATATTCCTGCCACTTGTAGCAGCAAGGCTGAGGGGATATGGACATGTTATGTGCAGCTATTTTAAATTTCAAAGACAGATTCCATATCCTTAAAATTTGGGCTAGTATTACGTAAAGCTTCAGCATACATGCATCTGATACTAATGTAACATGATTTCCAGAACACAGTTTCAGCGAAGGAGAGATCTTAAATGAGCAAAATGACACATAATCAATCAGACTCCAATAATTTCTTTTCACCATCTCATAGATATGCAATTGGCTGGTTTGTATTTCTTGCATGATGAACATAAGAATCTTACTGCATTTGCCAATATGTGCTTTGTTGACATATTGTATAGCATTTTATTGCTTCTGGTTGAAATATCTTAGAATCAACACCCTGCCTATAAAATAAAATAATGAAAATGAATAACTATGGCAGGCCCTATGCTGATAAGAAACTGCAGGGGGCCACAACACAAAAGGTTTATGGTAAGCAGTTACATAAAATTTCAGGGTAACACAGGAGACACATCCTCACTACTAAAACTGTACAGGAATGCTCCCTATCCCATGAGAAGTCAATATAACATGTCTAGAAATGTGTTTCAAAGATTTAAGTACTTCAGCACTAAATCAGCAAAAGATTTAAACATATGCTTATTTTTTCAAGCTTCTGATGAATCCTTGGTGAAGCCAGTGACTAATGACGTATTGAAATTCAGAATACACATTTTTTGTTAGCTGACAGGCAGGAAGAACAGTCAGCATCTTATGGTGACTGCTCAGTATCCTGCACAATTTGATGTGACATTTTGTAAGAATTGGCATTGACACAGCTAATGCCACAGTCAGAGAAGTGGTAGCTGGATTCCTCTCTGGTGGCCAGGCACCTGATAGACATGGCAGAGAGCATCTGGGTAATATCTACCTCCTTTATTAATAAATTGTAATGTTGCCTGAATGATCAGGAAACAATTTTTTGGGTTTGTATCATTTTATTAATCATCTGTATTGCTTAATTTTCTAGGGACCTGTCTTACACTGGCTTAAACAGATGATGGAGCTTATGAATCATCCTAGATGCAGATCTGTAGACCATGGGCATTTATAATGGAAAAATATGTAGATAGAGTTGGCCTGAAAAACAGCATTCATTCTGCTTGCAAAGATTATCTTGTTTATGTCCGTGGACTATCCCAGGTAAACCATCATTAACTTTTATAAATAGCACATTTGAAATATGTTTACATAAATAGGGGCCTCTGGTGGTCTAGTGGTTAGGGTGCAGGACTCTCACCGCTGCGACCCGGGTTCGATTCCCAGCCCCCCGGGCAGATGGAGCTCGTCAGCCCTGTAAGGCAATCCATCTAAGAGAAGGTCACTCTAAACAAACCTATGTCCTGAGACCCTCACTGCCACTGTCCAAGCTTGCTCGGCCCCGGCAGATGAACCTCAGGATTAAAGGGTGGGCTCAGTTCAGCGCACGCTGTGTCTCACCTAAAAAATCCACTACGCAGGCTCGAAGGGTTAATGACCTTTCCCAAATCTTCGCTCGCGAAGACTGGCCATTACATGAGATAAAGCCTGCACACAAGCTTTCATTCCCATTAAATCGAAGGTCAGCTCCTTGAGCTCCACACCATATTCATGTCCATTTTCACCTTTTTCACAGGCAGACACTCCTGGAATTCTTTGTAAAGTCAGTAAGGTCACCAGTAAGCAGGTAAAAAGTGGTACCACCAATAAGGGTTCTACTACCTGTCTTTCATTTGCAGAAATCCAAAACACTCTTCTAAAATACAATGCAAGGCACAAAGACTTTTCATTTAGTTTGGTTTTAACAATATTTGTTACCACATTGTGCTGGTTTTGGTTGGGGTAGAGTTAATTTTCTTCACAGTGGATGGTATGGGGCTGTGTTATGGATTTGTGTTGAACACGGGGTTGATAATACAGAGATGATTTTGTTATTGCTGAGCAGGGCTTACACAGAGCCAAGGCCTCTTCTGCTTTTGGTACTGCCACACTGGTGAGGAAGCTGGGAGTGCGTGGGAGATTGAGAGGAGACACAGCAGGGACAGCTGACTCCAACTGACCAAAGGGATACTCCAGACCATATGGCATCACACTCAGTATAAAAACTGGGGGGGAAGAAGAGAGGACGTTTGGAGTGATGCCATTTGTCTTCTCAGGTAACTGTTACATCTGATGGGGCCTTACTCTCCTGGACATGGCTGAACACCTGCATGCCCATGGGAAGCAGTGAATTAATTCTTTGTTTTGCTTTGCTTGTGTGCACAAGCTTTTGGTTTCCCTGTTGAAGTGTCTTTATCTCAAACCATGAGTTTTCTACCTTATCCCCTTCTGATTCTCTACCCCATCCTACTGGTGTGAGAGTGAGTGAGTGGCTGCTTGGGGCTTGGTGTCTGCCTGAGGTTAAACCATGACACATATCTATAGGTAACTAAGCTAAGAAGAGTTTAGACTACAGAAAGCCTTCATAGGGATTCTACAAAAGCAACTCTATTTTCCTCTACCAACATAGTTACGGAAAGTATACACACATTCCCTATGACCTTGTGCTGACCTTCATGTAATTCTAGGAAACATTTTATGTAGACATAGCAAAATAGTGGAAAAACTTTTGTTTACAAAACTCGACCCCAAAATCCTAACTGAAATTAGATGCCAAAACAGAACATACCCAACTTCACCCCATTAACAATATTTCTGTTATCCACTCATTGCACATTTGAAAAGTTTGTCCACACTGCATATTTATCAGTATGCTCCATCTCTCAAATGAATACTCAAAGCAGTAGGGATTCTTTTTTTGCTTCTTCTCCTAAGAAGCCATTGACTTCAACCTTCCTTGTAGACGAGTAATCTAAAACTTTTATACTACAAACTGGAATTTTTTATGTATTTCAAAAGGAAGACATCTTACAATAGAACACCAAATCCTCTGAGCTGATCAAGTTATTATCTGGTTATTATGCCTAAGGAGCTGAGAGAAATATATGAATTTCAGGTGTCTAATTTAACATCTAATTGAAATCTTTTTGAGAGCTCTCTGGGAATAGAATCCTGCTCTAATAGAAAACTGCCAGTTTGCTTAAGATTGCTTCTGTGATTTACTCTCCAAAGAAAAAATCACTTTCATTTACCGTTCCTGCATTTCCAAATTAAAGGGGGGGAAGAATGCAATAATTATATTAATAACTGAAGTATTTTGCTAGTGGCTGTTTTATGAAGTAATATCGTAAATAAAATACCTTAAAGTTGACATTTTCAAAAGTCTATTAATAACTGGCAACTCAGTTCTTTTATTAATCTGAGTGGAGTTACAGTTAACTGAACAGCCTGTCTCTGTCCTTCTAAAACTTGTATTTCCGTGTAATTATGGCATCTATGATTCACTTGGTCAAATTATGCAAAGTATGCACATACACTCAGCAGTGATTTCATTGCATACTCATAGGAAAACTCACTAGTTCACTGACAACAAATTAAAAAAAAAGCTGGGGGGAAGACATACACTATGATCTCATATAAGCTTAACATATACTGGGGTACGCAGGAGAAAAAAAGTTTGTCTTGAGCTTGGGGCACTGGACTGGAAGTCAATAAATCTTTTCCAGTTTTCCACTTCTGCTTCATCATTCTGGACAAGTCATTCAATCTTTGTGTCTTTACTGGCCTCTGAGAAGACATAACTCTTCCATCTTCTTTCACTTAGTCGATCCTGTCTTTAAGTTCTGCCATGTTCTTGTTGCATTTATGCACAGCACATAGCAGAAACAAACCTCAGTTGAGGCCTATCAGTAAGACCTTAAACCAAAGAAACTCAATGGAAGCCGTATTTTAGGTGATAAATGCTGCCATGCCACAGATAAAGATAAAATGACAGGCATGGTAAATACTTTTTTGAATGCTGAAACTACAGACAAAAAAAAAGGGAGAATAGAAGGGCAGAATTCTTCTTTCCTAATCCCAGCCATATAAAAATTAGGTTTCTAGATTAAGGTAGTTAATTAGCAAAAAATGGCCCAGCCAGAGCTTGTGGATGGAGATATACTACATCTTATGACAAATGCCTATAGCAAATGGGATGAATCACTTTATGGAGTTGCTTATCTCTGCCTCTTGATGACTGAAGGACTAAATTAGACTGCATCTAAAGCTGAAGTTAGGTGAGATGAATCCCACTTTCAATGCAAGTTTATATTGAGTGGATGGAAAATATGCATCAACTGCACTCATGTGTATGCAGGGAGGGAAATAAGAACAAATAAAGACCCTAGGAAGCAGGCATTAAGACATAAAAAAGCTATGATGTCTTTTATGAAAGACAGTATTTAGTAGAAATAAAGGAGAGAATAAATTCCTGGGTAGAGAAGGAAAATGTTCTACGATAATGTACTTCAACCATCGAGTGCATGCTGGTTCAAACTGCAGTGGCCTGTGGGAGGTCATGTATGCTGCTCTGTCGATACTGAAATCCTGTAATATGTGTATGTCTAAAGTGAGGAAAGAAAGATGAAGGAACATTGGAGGACAACACAAATAATTTGCTGGGTCATTCACCAAGCCACTTCCTAACAGCTTTTGACAGAAAAACATTTTCAGGTAGACAAGTTGTTCTTTAACAATTAGCCAGGTTATAAACTGGGTATTAGCAGAGCTTCATTTTTCAAACTTTGCCCAGCAATACATTCAGAGATACATACCTTATCCTGAAGTGCCTCACAAGTATTTCCACAGCACAGACATTTGACATGCTGCTATTTTTCATAAGGAATAGTCTTCCATTCTCTAAGAAAATCAATTAGGCAGCCACATTCTGTTGCCCTTCCATAACAGAGTTGTTTTGATGGACAGAGAACAGTCTCATTTCAAAGCAGAGATGTCTCCAGGGAAAATATTTTTCCCTCTCTAAACTAGTTCTGCCATGAGCAACGAAAGACTTAATTTTCAAGGCAATGACAATTTGAAGCACTGAGGGATTTTCAAATGGACCAGTTCAGTCTTGACAGTTCTAAAAATCAGGCCACAGTTATATTATCTAAATGAAGACACAAATATGTTTATAATTTAGGGGAAAAACTGCCTTCATCTTAAATAGCCTGGCACCAACCAAATGGTTGTGAAAATTGTAAATCCTTCTTCTTGAAAAATGCAGCAACTCTTAACCAATGTAATAATACTCAGTTTCTTTCATAACCTAACTTTTCCTCAAATGGACATGAATTTTGCATGCAGTGGGATCTTTATCTATTTTTCATGAGATATAGTTTAAAGAATCATATGCAGTCCTTTATGAACACTGCAGGCTGCTACAACCCTCCTTCCTCTTTGGTTTTATACAGAAGTTATCAAATGAGAAAGCTATAAAACCTCATTCTAGTTTTTTTTTTTGTTCTTTTTTTTATTTTGTGTGCCAATGGATATATCTAGAGGCAAAAACCTTGAATTATGTCAATCCTTAGAGAAAAGAGTGAGTATTTTTATTCACAGAATGGTGGGCATCAAAGCTTGAGAGGTCATTTTAGTACATCTACTTTTTCCCAAAGCAGACTTGTTCCTTATAGTAAAGGGTTTATTGCAAGGAACTAAACACAACTGAGCTCAGGACAGGAGGCACCATATGCACTGCTACAACACCAAACCTTCATTGGTCGTGCATCATTTATAAACTTGATTTAAGCCTCATGGGAACATTAATAAGCATATGAAACTATCAAAACTGGCCCATTTTAGCCAGAAGCTAACTTCAGCTTCTATCACAATGATCAGGCAGGGGAAAGGAGTGGTGAAGAATTCTCTGCAATAGAAACATCCCCAAAAGTTAATGCTCACACTGACTATTTGGATAGGAAGCTTAATGACTTAAAATAAGCCTGTGAGCAATCCACACCTTCTGTTGCAGTTTGAAAAGAATTGAAATTCTGAAGGAAAATGGCAATTCTAAATTAAAGCTTGTATTGACTGTGTCTCATTAAAACACTCACAGTCCATAAAGCAAACCTCTCCACACCAGACCTAGACAATGCAGACTCTCAGCAGCATCTTGCTGCTACTCATTTCCAAGGGAACAAATCTCAATTCTGACCACAATACATTTTAAACCCTTTTTTTTTTCTGAACTGTCATGTTAAAGGGACCATTCACTACCTCCTTGTTGCAGAAAATGGTTCCTATATTAAGCCATGAGATCACTGAAAAATTAAATGGCCCATTATTCTGCATAAGTAAGGATTTGTTAAAAGGTCGGGAAGTGCAAGAGTTTACTTGAATATTCTGTGAGTTAAATAAATTAAATATTAAAAAGCCCATATAGCATTTGAAGTATTGAAGTACACATTTTGAAAATATAGGATTATATAGTAGCAGTGTGAGAGATAAAATAGAGAGTTTATCTCAATTCTTAATGTATTTAAGAATTCATTATCAATTTAAAAATCACTAATATGACATGTTAACTCACAGCAGTTCCACACACTTCATCGAGATCCCTCTGTTCTTGTGGAAATAACATTAGAAGCTAAAAGGAAAAAAAAATACCCCAAGCCCCTAGTGTTTAAACAAATAAATCTGACCTCATACCTCTTGGGGTTTGCTGTCCAGTGGCTGTGGAACTGACAAGTTTCTGAACTTCAGTTGAATAGGCTTATCAAAAACGGGTGTACAATAAGTCACTGTCTGTTCCACCTCTCCTGGAAGAACTAATGACCCTGCTGAATAAAAAATAGTCAACATTAACCTTCCAGTCGACGTATAAATTAGCAAAATCTTGTTAAAATCTTGTACTGCTCAGAACACAAGCAGAATCTTGTTAGTCAAAGTGTGCTGTACTCATTGTTGCATAAGCTATCATCAAAACAGATCCATGCAGTCCTGAGCCACAATCTAAATAGTAATACTATACTAAGCAAAAATCAAGGTAGGTCTTCTTTCTTGAGGATGCTGCATTAAAAAATCTGGATGTAGATGCTCTTAAACTCAGAGAACACCTGGGATTACACCCATTTTATTCATAACAAAGATGGAAGGTCCTGAGCAGAGATGTCTGCAGTAGAAGTTATAAAATACCTCATTTGCCATTGACTAGACAGGTAGGCTCATTCATTTCTCATCACCTGTACACTGAGCATTAAGAATCATTGCAAAGCATCCTAATATGACTCTCCCAAAACATTAAGTAAAAACACCTGGTAGAAGTACTAATATTCCCCACTACAGTGCCAGATGACTCTCTCATCCAAGGATATTTCATGGCTGTTTTTTCCTCCCTAAACTTTCCAAAAAGAGGTACTTGAGAGGACTTCCCCATACCTGGGATAGAGCAACATGTGACCTGTCCATGCGGGTAGGATTTGGCCCACAGTTCACAAAGGCACAGCCTTTTAGAATCGCTCTGCCTTTACAAACTTAAGCAAAACACTGGGAACAGCGGGTTTGCATTCTGTGACAGATCAGAAGGATATGCCTTAGGTTGAAAAATATCTTTTAACATGAATCAATCTCAGCTCTGCTACAGCACAGATGCGTCCATCTTGTCTCAGTAATGTTTTTATGAAAGAACTTAAGGGGACCATATGTCTTGCAATTTAGTCAAAGAATTATGTAAATCTACCTGCTATTTTTTTCCATCTGATACACAAGTATCTTTACAGTTTTACACTACATTTACATTCCTCTTGAAATTTCAGAATAAATTTTCAAAGCATTGCTTAAATGTTAGTTAATGGAACCAATAAGAGTATACAGAGATGCAGGGTGGAAAGGATGAAGTTACTATTTAACTCTACCTGCATAATTTTACCAAAGTAGTGGAGTTATGGACCTCTCATTCTTCTGTGAATCTGCATTTGAAAATAATGATTTCCTAGCTAGGCCTTTGTAAAAAAAGCCATGATCAAATTCTTCATTTAGCTTTCTTCTGGGAATAGTGTACTATTTCAAAGCCAACGGGGTTTGGAGTTGCAAAGTAAAATGTTCTTTTAAAAGGAGTTGAATTAATTCCCTTGAGTATTTCATTCCTGGATTTTTGTTTCTTGGTTCATATTCACACATAAGTGCTTTCATTTTCATACCTATTCTCTTGGTTGTGTATGTCAATCTCTAGCCACCTATGTGCTTTCAGTACTTGTTCTCAGCATAGCATCTGTTCTGATTCTGCACCAGTTATATGAGAAAGCTTCCTGAAAAGGACAGCACAGTCCACGGGTATCTATGTCTTCACATGCTCTGCAGCTCCTTTTTTCATAATTTGGGTCAAAACTATTTGTAGGACAGGAGGAAGATGAGAATGCTTATTTAAAGACAATGGCATCTTCCAGTATTGTTTCAAACGTGCACCCTAAATCCAGACTCTCACTAAAGTAAGGGAAGTCTGGACATGAAGAGGTTTGTATCACCTCCTGATACAAACACTGATTATTTCTGCACTGAGAGCTTCTCCCCCTCAACAGCCCAATCCAGAGAGAGAAGATGAGGAGGAAGCACTGTTATGCAACAGTCTGGCAATGGCTCAGAAAGATAACTCTTAAGAATTAGGACAACAGAAGGAAACTTATTTTTGCTTTTAGCAAGAAGTGCTTGTCATACTCAGAATGTCAATTCCACTTTTTAAGGCTTGTTAGAAATGCAAATAATGTTTCAAATTCCCTTCAATCACCCCATAAGAATGTAATCAACCTTTGTTTGCCAGTAGACATGCCAGAAATGAGCTTTGCCTCTCTCTATCCTGGCTGTGTGACAGCATATGAAAGTCTAATTGGTAAATGCTGCTTTCCCTGATAATGTTTAATAAAGAAACTCCTTCAGAGAGAAAAATTAGAGAGTTTTGACAGTCCTTCTCAGTGGGAGAACCCAAAGGAACTCCAGGCTATTGTAAGTTCTAGCCAGTACCTCACAGCTTGTTTAGGCTGCTGCTACAGCACTACTGGATGATGATCCTAATTAAGCTGCTAATTATGTTCTCTGTGGAGGTGATTAATTAGCAACAGGAAAGCCTTGGATACTGCCAACGGCACCATATATAGAAATAACTGAACAGGCAGTGATATCAAAAAAACTGAGAAGACATTTTGAAATGCACCTCTCATATCATAAAGAATCAACTCCCTGGATGATATAGCAGTGAACACCAATGATTTTACTCAAGTCCAGCATACTTTAAGGAGGGCACATTTGGAAACTGAACAATTCTCTTTAGTCCCTCCCCCCTCAAAACCCAGAAAGTGATTATTTAATCTGTCAACAGTGCTGAGTTGGACTTTTTGCTTATTGTGTACCATTAATTATAGGTATAGAAAAAAAATCTACTGGCACAGGTCTGCTTCGAACTTTCAGAAGTAAAGAACTTCAAAGTCCTGTCTATATCTTTAACTTTATGGTAGCCAAACAATGCCCAAATATATATGCACTGACACAGATTTTACCACTTTCAGACACTACATTTCACAAAAATGCTGTTGATGGGGAGCTGAGAAGGGAGGTAATGATAACAAAAAAAGCTTAAAAGCTAAATTTTGCAGTCTCCTCTGATTCTCATGCTTCAGGCTGTTAGTCCCGAAGAGCTGCCTAGTGTGAAATCATCTCAAGGCAGTGCTAAATGGATTGCAGAGACTGGAGGAGAAAAACAAGAAAGGGATTCACCAGCTGGGGGGAGCCCCGTACTTAGAAAAATCCACCTAATTTAACTCTGAATCCTCTTCCTCAATCTGACTTTTCTGGAGGTAAGCATAGACTCAAAATATAAATGAAAAAGGCACAGATTATGAAAAATAAAAGATATTGATATAATTTGCTTAAAGAATTATTTAATTAATCAATAGTTATGCTTGGCCTCAGCTTCAAAGTAACTGAGTCAATTGGGTTCTCCTCAGCCTCTGTAGGGTTACAGACAACCAGGACCTTGAAAAGATAAATTTGCAGTAACTCAGTGTTCCAAGCTGGACTAGGATGAGACTGACATCCTGCCTATGTAGTCTCACCCATATATTTAATTAGTCCTGTTGTAATTTTACTTAATTTAATTTTAATTTTCTCTTGTATTTAAAAAATAGCACACTCCAGGTCTCTAGATGTGCTTTTTACATATTTTGTACTTTATACAAATATTACCTATTATTACCTAACTACCCTTCAAGCCCTGCAGCAAGAGATTTGTAACCAGACCTGGAAAGGAATTCTGTTGATCAAACACAGGGCAACACAGGCACTAGGTATTCTCCATCTATCCCTGGAGAAAGCCTGATCATCTCTATTGTTGCCTTAAGCAACTTACAGTTACAGATTAAATGCAGTGAGAAAGAGCGATTAAACAGTTCACCATACACACGCTGTCTCTACACGAAGCATTAAAGTTATAGTTTATAGTTTAGGGCAACAATTTTACTTTGCCAATCATGGTTTACTGTGCCAAAGTCCCACAATGCAAAGCATTGCCCTGGTTTCAAGCTTTCAGCCCAGTGATGTCAAAGAAAAACAGCCACAATGAATTTCCATATTGGCCAACTCCATGGGCTGTTTTTTATTTGTAAGAAGCAGCTGCATGCATTTACAACTTAAAAGACATTGAACTTTGCAAAATACATCAGAAAAAAGAAAAAAAAACCACTAGAATGACTCTTCCAGGACATTTCCCAAAAAGCACTAGTTTATATGAGATATTTTAACACCTATTTTCTATCATGCTTTTCACACTTGTCAACTTTGAGCCACTTGCCCCTAGGTGCGAATATTTATTATATTAATGTACAGTTGCTAACTTAGCTAACTGATCTGCCCTTTACAGCTAAATGAAGCACAGAGATAAAAGCTTATGGCAATTACACTAGCAAGGTATGATATTTTTTACTGTGTAAAAAAAGATACAATATTTTTAGCTTGTTTTGTCAATATGAAGTCTTAAATCAATCATTTGTTCTGACATATAGGTGGCAGCATTTACAAATGCCAACAAAAGAATGTCTTTCAAATTTGTGTCACACTTTGCCTCATTTATAAACTAACTGGAATTCTTCAGAATTAATCCTTATTAAGGTGGTCAATAGGGGTATTATTTTAGATTACTTTATTATTGCAAACAATAGAAGTGACACCATTTTATATTTTAAATTGCATTTTGTTGCTATGGTTTCTAATTTTACCTCTCTTATTATGAAGCCTTTCAAGTGGATTTTGACATGTAAGACAACCATCAAGCTATAAGTGCTATTTTCTGCACTTAGGAGTCAAGGGGAAATTTTTTACCCTGACTTAACAATGATCTCCACTGAAGAAGCCCCAGGCAAAATTCAGGCTGTGCGTTTCCCAGGTATAAATTTCGATGCTGTTCGCTTTCCTTACAGAGTTTAAAAGGAATAATAAGTTTCTGGCTCGGCAGTGTTTCCATGCTGTAAAATGCAATCTAAATGCTTAATGTTGTGATGAGTCTTGTTGATACAGTTTCTTTCCGCACTAAGGCAAGTCTGCCTCAAATGAAGTGCGTTTTACTAGGGGTTTCTAAACGTATGTGATTGATATTTACTCTTGCACACACACAAATACACAGAAATGACCCAAAAGCTGGATAAAGGCAAGGTCTGTCATCATTCCGAATGTGACGAGCTAACCCCAAGCACTGGCAGAGCTCTTCTTTCCTCACAGTTCCACTCAGTATTTTAGTGTTGAGCTTAATTCTCAGCAACCAATTTGGGGCCTGTTTGGAACTCGCAATATCTAACCATACTTTAATGAACTAGATATAAACAATTATCATTTCATTATGACACAAGTGAGGTTTTTATGCTTACACCAGTAAGCTCCAGGGTCTTTTTAACAGATATTAAGGCATAAACACAGAACAATGGTCTATGAAGGGAAAAATGGGCACATATGAACAGTGCACTCAAGAGAAATCTTTGATGTCTGTACCTGATACAGCACTGCTGTCTTCCTACCTCCTTTCTGAAATGTCCAGGTTGAAGTAAGAATGTTTGCTGTAAACATGACTTATGTTTATTAGGCTTATTATTTTCTTATGAGATACTAGAAGTCTCTAAGCCCTCTGACTTCATAGGAATTCTGCATATACAGAAAGACTAATCAAATCTTTACTGTAAGAGTGGACAGACCAATCAAACGGCAACGAGTAAGAAACCAAGGATCAAAGTCCTGCTCGGTAGCAGCTTCTGTCAGTGACCTCAGGTAAATCCCTTAATCTGTGTAGCTTGGTTTCTTTACACAATCACACGTATAGGTGAGGAAAATTAATTTAAACACTAAAAGAGTATCAATTCTGGTGGCAATAAAAACCACACAAGGACTAATGATAGACAAACAACTATAGACATTAACATTTCATTTATTTTTCAGAGGTGGGAGAGTTAAAATTATTATAGACATATTCAACAATTCAACACAACTCAAAATGCTCATAATTGGAACTCTTAAAGAACTTCACTGTGAATTCAAAGTTAGTCTCATCTATTTTAAGCCCAGGATGGAATCATTTTAATAGGTAGGGACAATATTTTCATTAAATACTTTCACTTTACAGAACTGTCTCTTAGCACCCAATTGCTGTGTAAAAAATTTCTTTAATCAAAATAATTTCAATACAAAACAGAAGTGCAGAAAACTGCAGAAATGTTGCTAACAAGAAGTGTTCTGCACTTCTAAAAATCTTGACAAAAATAACTGTTCACAAGGACACAGTTTAATAAATATTCCTTTTCATTTATTTTCTCATTACCTCTTAAGAGTGAGGAAATTAGTACTTTAATTTGGGGAATTGGGGCAATGTGGGGAATTTTCTGGCAATAGAAGAACTGAGGAATATCATCGCTTTTAGAGAAGAAACAGTTCTTTAATTAATGTTCATACTCTTGCATTCAAAGAAACATGTTCATGTTCATACTCTTTAATCATGTTCATACACTTGCATTCAAAGACAGAAAATGACAGTGAATATGGAGAGAGGAAACCTACCACTGCATGTCTCTTCATCTGAGTCTATATCTTCCCAATCTAAGTACTTGTCCACTTGCTGTAAAAAACCCAAATTCCAAAACAGATTAAAATGTATTAATTCCATTCCTTTTAGTACAACCTAGATCAAAGCAAAAATGCACTAAATTGTCTGCTTCATCTTCTCCATTCTCCCTTGCATTTTTCTGAGAAAGAATATGAATTTTCTTTGAAATGTGTAAACCAAAGGAAATACTTTTAGGTATAGGCAAAGAATTGCTGCCAAAATTGCCGCATATCAATGTAAGTGATGGGAAAGAAGCTCAAGCTGTACAGCAACTTTTTCAGGAACTCAGTGGAAAGATGGAGAAGTAAAATATTTTCATAGGAAAAAGATAAATGATAAGTTACTGTGTCATTTTTCAAGTTCACATCATAATGGCACAGAGACAGTACATGCTGTAGGCAAACTAGAGCTTGATCCTTCTGTTTTGACATTAATGGTGAACTGATTGGGAAGTAAAAAAGCTAAGAATAATTAAGTTTCTAGTATTTCATCTGGGACATTGCTCTACTGTTTTTTTAGACTGATGTTCCTTGAAAACAGTCTAAACCATCTAAAAGGTACCACAAGAAAAGGCATTTGTCATTTCAAGTATCACTTTGAATAGACGCACAGGGTGAAAGGCCTTTGCCAGCCTATATGTAAGTAGTGTTACCATGGAGGATTTAGTCTATGCACTGAGTTGTCTGCTGTGTTTCTATGAAGTAGTTAGAAATGCTCTTAGATAATTTTTTCCAACCTGGTTTGACAACATTCTCATCAAGAGTTACATAACCTTTACACTCTAAAAGTACATACTCACTAATATTTGAAAAAATTTTGGATTTCTCTCATTGTTCTTTCCCACAGATGGGAAATACATCAACAAATTGCAAGTAATTTATAAGTCAATAAAGCAAAAATCAGTCATGTTCTGATCATAATCTCCACTCTGAAAAAAATCAAAGAAAACCCCATCTTCACTCTTTCAGACAGACTGAGATTCTTTCCCTCTGGTCCACCAGCTTTCCATCTCTCATTCATCATTGTCTGCAGGTAGATAGGCAGAAATACCTACATGCACAAACCAGAACCAAAGTAAGTCAAAGCTTGTACTGATTTACACATACAATTCATAGAATCACAGAATAGGTAAGGTTGGAAGGGACCACTGGAGGTCACCTTGTCTAACTTCCCTACTCAAGCAGTGTCCCCTAGAACACATTACTCAGGATTGTGTTCAGACAGCTTTATATATGTTGTATATAAAAATTTTTTAAGAAGTGAATGCAATGCTTCCGAAAATAAAACAGATGCAAGTATTTCCCTGAAAACCTACACAGGACCAGACTGAATCAATTGGAACAACAATGCAAGTAACCATAACATGCCTAAAAAGCAGCATTTAGAGGAGTAGCACTGTTTTCAATAGCAGTTTTTTCCCCTCTTTCCTTTCCTCAGGGCAGGCTTAAAGATCACAGTGGTCAATTTACCCCATTACAGCCTCCTCCTGCTACTACACTAGTAATTTTTCTAATGCATTCTACTATCACTGTATTTGTTTCTTAAACTGCAAATGTGGCAAAAATGTGCAGCCATGTCTGGAGCTTTTTTCCTTAGATACAAAGACAAGCATTAAGATGTTCTATTACAAAAAGGATACTGGAATTCAGACATTGCTTTACGGGGCAGAAAGACAATTCAGGAGACCCAAAGACAGACTATCCCAATGAAGCAACACTATTCTTCACAAAAAAAATGTTAAAAAGAATCTTGTCATTATTATTACACAATTAACTGACAGAATGTGATTGTTTTAAAAGCCTTGCTTGATTCCACCTCAAGTGGAATAGTCCTAGTGGGGAGGAAAATGGCATTTTGTGCTCTGACTGAGGCCTGGCAGGCCCACCATTTGAAGACCCCTAAGTGTGTTGCTCTGTGTATTGCACAAAAGGACCTGCTACTTCTATTTTAATAAAAACTTTAATGAAGGGAAATTTTGAGTACAGACTAGATTACAGCTTTGTCACTTTGTTCAGGTAGGAGGGCAGAAGTTCTTAACAAGTTGACTCAGATTTTCATCTCACTCTGTCCAGATGATGTCTGTTGTTTTCCTGTCTCTACACGTTAAATCCCTAATCTCATATGTTTCAGAAGACTAAAAATGCCTCTGGCCTGCCTACTGTTTACTTAGGCATTACTTCAGGCATCTGAGGTAATCCAGCTTCGGTAACACAGAACTCCATACTTCCTAAAATCTACAAGAAACAAAATAAATCTCTAGGTGCTGGCATCCATACTCTCAAGATTTCTTTTCCTTTTTGCCAACCTCTACTGCTAACTGCAGTCTTCGGCAAAAGCATCACATGGCTCATTGCAGGGCACCTTATTTAATAGTCGGATCATGGCAGCTCTTCAGCAAGGCAAATGCCACTGCCAAACACGATCCCTGCAGGTGCCTTTCTAAGCATTAAACACTTACATAGTATTTTAAATATTTGCCTCGAATCAGATAAATACCACTAGCCTCTAACATTTGAACAGTGTATCTCTTCATATTTTCATCTCTTTGAATGTGGTGCCTGTCCACTTGGACAGTTGTAACTCCTTACCTTATTCTCATTTGGCATCTGTGATGGAAGAGATACCCACATTTCTTTGCTTCTTTCAGGTAAGCCATTCTGTTTACTTCTGTTTGATAATTCAGAAGTAGAAAATATTTTTCTTAAGTAGTCCACTTTATTTCCTTGAATTGTCTTCTCCTCTTTCTCTGCAAGGAGAATCACACCAGGTCAGATAACATAAAGCACTATCCAAGAAAAAGAAAAACATGTATTTCCTTAGATCTAATATTGACTTATTTTACACATTCACTTTTCCTCTCATGCTCAGAGCTTCCATGTGCAACATAAACAAGTATTTTGCAGCCCTTATCATAAAACTGAATATTCAGTTTGAACTTCAAGTGCATAGAGTATCACCTATTCCTCCATACTGAAGACTTAATTCTCTCAAAAGCTTATGCAATGTACAGAAAAATGTATAAAACCAACCAAGAGCTGAAATACCAAAAAAAGCAAGACAGTAGAATTATACCTTAGCTTTTATTCTAAAACTTTACTTAAATTCTCTCTCAATTCTGGAAAAATGGCACATAACATGTATGTCCATGTCTTCGTCTGACACTGCAAACAACAATATATATGAAGAGTCTCTTCTTTGAGACACTACTATACACCAGTCCAATGGCAACTGCACTCCCAACACTTATATCTCTAATTGTAAAAGTCCATCAATGATGCTTACATGGGATCTGTGCTTACAAAATCACTTGATTTGTCAAGGAGATAACTAATCAATGATGTATCTTCTGACCAAGCACAAGAAAGGGCTCTGATGTTGATCACAGTACAGAGATGATCTGGGCCACAAATGCAGTAATTCTTACACTTTCTACATCAGTATCTTGGTTCACATGTGAACCTCACAACCACTAAAAAAAATGCCCATGTTGTCTAGTACAGAAGTGAGCTTTGGCAGTTCTTCTCAGAGCTGGTACTGATACTGGCTGGTCCAGGGTCAGCATTCACAGAGCTCCTGGGTGTCCACGGACACCACCACTAGAACCTCCACCACTCCTCCACCAGTTCAGGGCTGTGTGATGAGATGAACTGACAGGTCCTATAATTCAACTCCTGTGTCTTTAGTTAGTAAAACACCTCATTTCTTTACACAGTGTTGCTTTCAGTGTTTAACAGCTATAGAATGCTCAGCAATCTGAGGGGAATATTTTGCAACTAAATAACTTTTTTATTGGGATCAGACTAACAAACAGCAGTATGCCAGTGATACTTCATTGCCAAAAGTTTAGGCCCAGAAATTAAAGAACAAATATAGATGTTCAAGCAGGGTTTGTTCCCTTAAGAAATTCCTTTGGTCTTGAAAGACAGACTGGAAAAATGTTTTGACAGTGTATTTACAGAAGATCAGAATAACTTCTCTTGGGCTTATTTTATACATCAATAGTGGCTAATTGAGTCCTCACTGAAAATAGGGAAGTATTCAGAAACAGAACTGAGTATTTCAATGATAATTTTTGACATCTTTCAGACCTTTAACAACTCCTTGGACAACAACAGCAAAGTTAAGACAACTATAAGAGCTTCTGACTGTCCAACCAGCCAGGGTCCCAGGGCACAAAGACTTAGGCTACATCTAGGTGATCATCAAATGAAATGTCAACAGTACTGGCTGGATCTGGGAGCTGCTTACAGACAAGTATGTGCATGGATGTATGGATTTCCAAATCCATGCTGTATAGTTGGGCTTTTTCCCTTCAACATGGCAAAAAATAATCATGGCCAAAATAAAAAAGCAGTACTTTTTCTTTTAAAAGTCCCATTATCAAATATGAAGCAGCAGTAAAGTTTTAGAATAAAGGACAATCAGTTCAAAAAAACTTCACACCATATTCTCTTAATGAAAAACAAATGCTCATTCAGTGAAGTTTTTTGGGTTTAGTTTAAAAAATCCGCTTTGCAACAACAAGAAACACTGTAGTGCATTTCTAAAGCGTAATTATATGTTACAAGCATTGAAGTAATTCTTGTGGAGAGTACTAATGATGCCCTTGGGGTTACTACACTGAGCCATACAGCAGAATTCTTAATACCCTGGGACAGCTCTGTGCTGCCATTACTATGACACACAGAAAGGACTGGCAGAATGGGTATAACCTGAAGTCCACACTCTTATATAAAGTAAGGTTCATAGAAAGAAAATTGCACCAGACCAGAGCAATCTAGCAAACAGATTTTAATGTTCACATCACAGATGGATTCTCTGAATAATTCCTAAATCCCAGGACTCTGTGACATGTGGCTTCTCCCCACTTTTTTAGCAAGTACTTTCCTAAAACAATATTTGGATACAGCAGTACATATGAGCAATCTCTTCCTCCTACACACTCTCTTTTTCAAGCCGTGGAAATGAAGCAGCATTAGACAAGAAACCCTCTTTTAAATTCTTGACTGCTAAAATCATTACCCACTATTTGAAGAGACTTTTACAGTCACCCTACTTCTTTACAGTCACCCTACTTCATAGGAAGAACTAGATGGCTATCTCAAAAAGCTTCAATTTTTTGTTACTGTAGTAGTAAAGCATGGATGGACATCCTGTTTTATACAAAGAACTTGCAAGTTTTATCTTAAAGACTGACAAGACACGAAAGGATATTAGTGTATTTTAAGGTAAGTGTATACTGGTGAATTACTGCAGCCAAACATCTGCAGACCTATAGAGTAACGAGGGACTGAGGACCCAGTATCCTCCCTGTCCACATCAGGAGCATTTATGTATGAGAAGTGATAAAATGCTTCCAGAAGCCATACAATTTTGTCAGCCAGACCAACAGAGAGACAAAAGAAATCATCACCGGAATGATCAGCAACATAATTCATACAGATGACAGACTCTAAACAAACATGATATTCCTGTACTAGCCCGTGCTTATTTTGGATACCACTGTGGTCATTCTTCTGGGATATAAATCAGATCATTCTTCTTGAAAATACGGGTTCTGAATTTCCCAAAGAAAATATCATTTTTAGCATCAAAAGACCTATGACACATAGTTGGGCAGTTATAATTAGGCAGTACATATGAGCTGACAAACTTCCTTTATTAGGTTATATATTTTCTGGACAGCTGAGCTATTGTCACAGCTAAAAAGCTAGATAGATTAAATGAGCTGGTAAGAAATCAAGTGCATTCATAGTCTTTATGTGCCATTTACCAACTCCCAGACTACAGCTAGAAGCATTATCCCTTTTCCTAAGAGATCAGTCATAAACTTCTGTCAGAAACCTTTTTCTGGTTAAGACCATTGTAGAGTTATTGGGTTACAGAATATTAAACATTACTTTTGATGAAACATTCCAACTGCAATGTGATACTAGATTAATGATCACAAGTGAAGAAAAATTCAGAAAAAAAATGCCTAAGCAACCCAAAGCAGTTGTTAAAAGCAAGTCTGCAGACAGAATAACAACTATGCAACCATGAGCATAATGAGGCCATGCCATATAAATTAAAGGGGGGGAGGTAAATTAAACATGTTGCTAGCCTCAAGCACGGTGCCTCAGGACCAGTGAGATCCACCTTCAGATGTCCAAAGTAATTACTGACACCTACAGCTTCCCAATGCATGTATCACTTAACTGGCTCCCTTGAAACAGATAACAGTCATGATCTTACAAAATATTATTAAAAACAACACACATAAGTTATTATAAAGCTAAGGAAACTGCAATCTGTAGTAGCAGACAAATATCACAAATGTATTTCTTTGCTAGTGTTCTGAATTTCAACCATTTCTGTTCCTGTTTCTGAAAAAGGGGAAGAAGGAATGATCACATTCAAGCCAGCAAGCGAATCACTCTGCCTTTCCCCTGACTAAGTGATAATTGACTCATTATTCACAGTCACAGCTCTCAACCTGCCAAGATCCTTTTGTAGAACACCGGCCTTCACAACATGTGACTTAAATCAAAAATAAGGGATACAAACACAACAGAATGTAGCAGAGGAAGAAAGCTGAAATGATGGAAAGATTCACATATTCATCCTGTAGACAGATTTTGTCTCACTTTTTAGACAATTTACTGTCTGTATCTTAAAAATGAAGTAAGAAGCCAACTTAGGTCTCTAGAAAAGTATATCTGAGTCTCTCAAGAGAAGTATCCATCATAATGGTGTGTCACCAAAGAGTATGGTGCACACTTCAGAAACACGTTTGTATCAGAAAGTATATGAAGCTTGATAAATTATTTTCTCTCCTGCTATCTATCCTCGATATTGCTTAAAATTCTCTTTGTCTTCCAATTTGGAAGGGAATCTTTTGAAAATGTCCACTGATCACTCACATCTTTCAAAGAATATTGGATTCACTTATCACAAAAGCAGAGAAGAGAGCTACCTGTATTATCAGGAAAAACTTACTGTCAGTGTAATCTGTTAGATGACATAGTAGTCCCAGAAGAATGATAAAAGTCTCATGGTCTGAAACATTTCAAAGCCAGACCAGACAGAGCAATCAGTAACATAACATAGAAAATCTGGCTTGGGATAACACACTGCACAAAACAATACTAACTACTAAATATTTCCCACCTTTTTTTCAATTGAATTAATTCATTCCAAAAACAAAAACTGATTGAGAATTATAAACAGACCCCTTAACTATAAAACAACAACAAAAAAAACATACAGGAAAGCTACTACTATAAGTTCCAACTTACTTTTTTATCTTCAAATCCTGGACTGAGGGCCAGCAGAAGGCCTGTGAATCCCTTAAATCCCTTCCAAGTTATGCTTTGATGAAAAACCTGGGATTCAAATACTACAGTGACTTTGTACAGGACTCCTGAACAAAGAACAATTTTAATCAGAGTAGCATAATAACTGTCTTGAACAGAGGTCAAAAGTACAAATTTCATGTTCATTCACTATCTCCATTCTTCAAACCCATCATCAGCAAACAACCACATTTTAAAACAAGAACAAAGACTGTCACTGAAATGTTTCCATAAAATATCACTTTGACATGTTCACAAGGTGGTAAAATACTGTAGAAGTACCTGTATTTACCTATTTGTAACTATGTAAACCGTTGTACCGCGCTGAGTCCATCTACCCTAAATGACAAGCTGTAAGAGGTAAAAAAACGACATTTCAAGGCTTAAAATCCAATTTGCTGGGAAGATAATT